TCAAATACAAAACGAAAAAGAAACTGACAAAAACTTCTACAGTAACTTCACAGAACGAAGACAAAAATACAGTTCTAAAAATTATTTTGGATCACAAAAATTTTACACATAATTTCACTGAAGAAACTTAACACATCTAGTGAAAAATATATACAGTGGCTCCCAAAAGTTTTCGTATACTTATGATTTTCATTGAAATAGGGTCTATCCATTAATTTAAAGTAAAACTTCTGATGATGAGATTTTAATAATAAGATATCTATAATATATTGTAACAAAATTACATGAAATATTTTTGAAATATAGCGAAACTTTATTTAAGAAATTAATAATCAAAAAAATGATAAACATTTTATCTCGCAAAAAGTCTTTATACACTGAAATAGTTTTGGATAAAATCAAAATTAGAATAATCAGTTGCTTTTTTTTAATTTTTACATTTCTGGTGGTATTAAAAAATCGTTTGTTTAATTGTTTACTGTTTACTTCATAATATTCTATTTATTATTGAAAAATGGTCGCAGTCGTAAAGAAATTACAGCATTCGAAAATTGATCATTTTTCACCATAGTAGTGTAAATAATAAATTTGCAATATCAATAAATTAGTTAATTTACCCCATTCTACAGTGCAGTATGTGATAAAACGCTTTAAAGAAGAAAATTGGATTGAAAACAAGGTAAGAAAAAGTCGACCGAGAAAGTTAACTAAACGTGATAAGGGATTTATTCTTAGAAAATTTGTAAAAAACCCACGTTTGAGTTCTGTAAAAAGTTCTACTTCGATTTCACCTGAAACTGTTTGGCGAGTTCTCAGAGAAACTGGATTACATGGGCGTTCCGCACGTAAAAAATTTTGTGCTAGTGAGAAAAACAGAAAGCTTAGGCTTTCATTCGCAATAAATCAATGATAAATACACCCGAAAGGTACTCGGAATAATGTCCCTATTTGATGATGAAAGCGAAATTTAACATTTTTGGTTCCGATGGTCGAGTAACTGTATGGAGAATAAAAAATGAGGAACTTTATTCTAAGAACTTAGTTGGAACAGGTTAAGTATGGTGTTAGTTGGACATGTTCTTGTGTGGTGGGGGCATGAGCAGCATCAGGACTATGGTAATTTGTTATTTATTGATGATATAATGAATCATTCTTTTTATTTAAATAGTTAAGAGACAATTTAAAATTATCAGCCCAAAATTTGGGTATTGGAAACAACTTTATTTTTAATCATGATAACGATCCTAAGTATACAGCTCTCAACGTTTGCCAATAGTGTCTCCATAATCCACAGGTTTTGAAAACACCACCTCAGTCGCCAGATTTAAACCCCATAGAACACATTTGGAAAGAGCTGGAGGTTAGAATACGAAATCAAAACGAAAAGCGAACTCAAAACAGCCATGATGGAAATAATGGGTGAACATTAATACAGAAATTACCCCCACCCCCCAAAAAAAACTAGTAAAATCTATTCCCAGATGTTTAAAAGCTGTTGTGGATGCTAAAGGATATCCTACTGATATTAATTTAACGAAAAATGAAAATATTTACTAATATGTCAAGATTTTTTTTTTTTTTTTTTTTTTTTTTTTTTTTTTTTTTGAAGTGTACGAAGACTTTTGTGAGATAAAATGTTTGTCATTTTTTTATTATTAATTTCTTAAAAATGAATTTTTGCTATATTTAAAAAATATTTCATGTAATTTTGTTACAAATAGATTATAAATATTATTTTAAGTCATTCAGAAAGTTTACTTTTGATTAATGGATAGAGCCCTATTTCAATGAAAATCATAAGTGTACTAACACTTTTGGGAGCCACTGTATTTTAACAATAGTCATTAGTACCTATTCACAATTCCTTTTGTCCATTTTTATGATCTAAAATATCTTCTTTCAACTGCCTGAAAGTGAGTCATAATCGTAAAAAACAACCTTGTATTTAGCGTAAGTATATTGAAACACTCAATTGATTTCGAGGGCAGCTAAAGGTCCCTCATCATCAGGAGAAAGAAATACCTAGAAAGAAGAAAATAAAGGAGAGAGTCTCAGAAACACATGGTCCTTATCAGCACTGCACGTGGTTATAACTGGATTTTTAATCAATGTTGCACTGGCCGCCTACTTTTACTGAGCCAGGCTATCTGATCAAGCATAAAGGACAAGAAAAATTAGAGAAGTTAAAATAGGGAGTGAGGGGCAAATGCACCTTCACGCTCAAAATCTGAACATCAAATAATGAATGCCTGTATGTGTTTTATATGTGTCAGATGATATTTTTTTCTTATTTATATAATACTCTCTCTCTCTCATTCTTCAGAACTTCTCTTTTAATAATAAGATAATCCCAACTCTGATCCTTAAAATGATCAGGAACAGATGTAGAAGGTCAGAACAGGGTTTTGAACCTTTATCTCAGGTCCTCGTGATAGGCTGATGTATTCTGTCATTAATGAGTAAGTCTATTTTTGTTCATCCTCTTTGCATTACTGTCTTCCTTCCCCCCCCCCAAGTTCAACAATACCAAATATTGTCCATATAATCAATCATTCATTGACTTTTATACTATTCAGTCAATAGATTATTACCAAACATGTTAATGTAGATAAATATATTTTGGAGAAACTGAGTCAATCCCAAATTTGAACAGTAAGCAATATTTTCTACTATTTAATATTTGTCAAGTTTTTTATTTTCTAATTATTCAACCCCATGTTCATTCACATGTTGCGCACTGGCCATTTTATTATGTGTGGAATTGTTTAAAACTAACTGAACACTGCAACAATCTCATCACTTCAAAATCACATCAACCAGTTTTGTGAATTGCCACATGCTGCTACATTTTTATTTTGGGGTTTTAATTATTAATAACATAAAATAATAATTATAAACCTAATAAGCTAGTTAGTATTTTTATATACTAATTAGCTTTATAACTTTACATACCTGGTGTGTACCTTTAATAAGGCTTACTTTGTACCATTATGTAAACTTGTATTTTATGCCAATCAGTCCCCCTCCCCACACATGTTGATGTCAGCATTTATTCGTATTCCTTACATTTCACAGCAATAATTCATAAGTTTATCTTATGAATATCTGATGTGTGAAAGAATATGTGAAGAACACGTTTCCCCCCCCTTCGGGGGCCGAATTTTGAAAACGTTTGAAATTGGTTTTTAGGTATTCATATTCCATACATTTTAAAGCAATAACCTTATGTACATCTGTTTCTTCCTTATATGAAAAAGCATACACGTTTTGCCCACCGAATCTTAAAAAAATCGCTTCTTAAATGACATCTTCAGTACAAAAGGAATAAGCTCCTAAGTTTTGATATCTGTATCTCTAATAGCTTTGGGTGATGATCTGTAGAAGAATAAATCATGAATTCTTCCTTTATGTAAAGATTTATAATAAAACATCTGAACAAATAAATATGTATACCAATTAAAAAGAAAACTATTTCAGAAAAACTAACAAAAGAAATTAATTTACACTCAGTAATGCGCACCCAGTTCGTAACGTTTTAAACGCACGGCATTTTAAAAAAATCGGCTTTGACCACGCTGAGCTCCTTGGAGTAAACACACTGCGCATGAATCTGCGCAAATGATCAGGGAGGAAACTAGTATCTGAGGGACTAGACACTTGTAGTCAAGTTTCATAACAAAGCAATTGCTAAGATCGTTTGCAACCTAAGAATGAGTAAAGAGCAAGAGAATCAGGTTGCAGGAGGCTGTCAGTTGTTGTTCTGCAGTATTTGCTATTAAGAATTAGGTAACAGAGTTAGAGTTAAGTATCCAGTGGATTTAAATTAAGTATTAAATTGAAGTTAAATATTAGGGACTGATAAAGATTTAAATTAAGTCTAAATAATAAATATGGATTAGTTTGAATTAAACTGTATAATAAATAATTAATAAAGTAAGATGATTGACAGAAAAATATAGGCATCAATCAATGAGAATTCAGGTTGCAATCCAATCACAAAAGTAGAAATTATTGCAGCAAATTAGCACATGCAGACTTCTTGTGACAGATGTTCTATATTTAAGAATCATTAAACATAGTACTACATAGAAACATAATTACATACCTTTTGTTCTGATGAGATTGGGGGAGGGGCAAATGTATTGTGTATTGATCTGTTAAGTTCCGATTTCATTAAGCTGTTGTGCATATACGAGTATATGTGATGAGTTCTATCTAGGCCTGAGGTGACAGTCATTTGGTCTGGAGAATATTTTCTTGGTATGGACTCTGACCCATAGTATCTAAAACCAACATACAAATATATGACGGCAGTGTATATTGCATAGCAAACATCCTACTCTGATGCACATCTACCTAGATGAGAACAGCCATTTCGATGAGGTTAATCCTGACACCATCAATGTTATGTAGTGTTAGAATGGTTGTAGGAACATTCTGATGGCATGGTATGTATGGGGCAGTCTTTAAGTTCTGTGGGTCCACCAACAACCTAACTGTAAAGTCACTGAACACTGATAGTTTGATGCGGGTTTGAATCCCAGCAAATGAACTGGCAGCATAGGTGTTTTCATAGTTTTTCCCATGTGCAACATAACATATATGAGTCAGTTTCCTTTAGAAAGTCCTCTATGAAACCATGCCCCCTTCGGCAGAGAGCCTTTGACTGCTCTGCCATAATTATTTAAATCAAATCAAAACTTCATATTTTCTTGATCTGAATTAGATTTTTATTTTGTAATGTTCCTTAAATAAATTTTATGCAGTAAAAATTTCAGTTTAGCTATTTTTATTTAAAATTAATTTTCAACAAATTTGCTTTAATTCATCTTATAATTAACATGCTTTAATATTATGTTTAATGTTTTTATGGCTTTTAAAATTTCTTAAATATGCAAACAGCATATACATTTTTGTAAGAAAGTAATAAAATTATTTTTTATTAAAAACTTACATAGAATATACTTTTACAAAATACTAAAAAAATAATTTTGTTTTAGACTGTATTGTGAAGCTGAAACTTCAACTGATCGATACTCTTGCCAAACTGTATTATACTTTTTATTAAATACATTACTTCAATGCATAGGACCAATAAATCCTCATTTAGCTCAAGAAGTAGTTTTTCATCATCCAGATCCAAACTTTGGTATGAATGATCTTTAAAGTATTTTGTTTTTAATTAAAGCAAAAGTGTGTTGCATTTTAATCAGCTGTTTCAATTTTATGAAAAAAACTTAATACAATAATCGATCAATTTTATCTAATTGTTTTAGCAGTTATTTTCTATATTAAAAATGGATATGTTTTGTTGAATTTAAAGTAAAAATGTTTATACATTTCAATTCAAATAGGTGAATTAGTTTTGTTGTTGTTGATTTTTTGACATTTATTTGTAATAAATTATTTAATCATCTCTTACTTTATACTGTATACTGTCTCTTGATATATATAGTTAAGAGTTTATAATTATTCTCCTTAATGGATTATACTTTATTTAACCAGTCAAGAAAAATGCATTTAGTTGCCAGTGGCCAGTACTGAAAGCTTTTTTAGGAAATACCTCACTTCCAAGATGTATTACTACAGCAAATCAAATTAGAGAAACAGTTTTAAAATCAGGAATTAAGACTATTAATAAGAAAGCTGTCATCATAGGTGGTAATAAAACTGTAGATTGTATAAAGGTAAGACAGTTTTCTTTGTTAATTAATTAATTATATTGAATTTACATGAATTTATAAATTGCAAAAATATACATTATAAAATAATATACAGTACAAAGTCCATAATCCGGGCGTCCATTATCCGTAATAATCCGGACCTCAAAGCCACAAATTTACGCATGCGTGTTTGATGTGCACATCCACTACGCATGTACGTAAAGCCAGTGAAGCGTTTACACATGCGCGCTTCCGATAGTGAAAAAAGTGACAGAAAACGAAATGCTATTGAATGTTATTGTTATTGAAAACGAAAAAATTTTTATTGACAAGTTAGTCGGTATTCTTGACACAGCAATTACAGGATTTGAACAGTGGAATGTTGTAACTGAACAAGAAATTGTCTGTTTATAGAAGAGAGAATTAAAGAGAAAGTATTAGCACAAAAACGAAGCAACTTTAAACAACTTACATGAAAGAAATATTTAATGAAGTAACAAATAAATATTAGCTTTTTTTTTGTAATTTTGATACCCTTTAGATCATAATTGCTCTTTATTTCATAATTATGGTTTCATATTTTTAATTGTATAATTTCTGCATGCCATCTTACCAGATTTAAATTGATGATCTATAATTCGGAATTGCCGAAGTCCTGACGAATCTGGATTACAAACTTAGTACTGTATATTTACCCTGCTGGAAATCTAGTGATTTTTAAGTTGGTAGTTAACAAATAAATATTAAATACAAATGAAACAATGAGAATTAGACATAAACATGGTCATTAAATATGAAAGTATGTTTGTTAATTTGTTTTGCTAGTTTTATGAGGCAAAGAAAAATGTTAAGAGGAAAAATGCCGATTAACAGATTTTTAACTAGTGAACCACACTGTATGTGTTGATTTAATTCTAAAAGAAACATATAAGGCAAATTAGACAGTAGATCCATTATTTTGCTATATGTAGTTCTAAATTATTTTTCTTGTATATAATGTTACCTTGTATGGATTATATCAAATTACATTAAAGTAATAAAATTAATAAATAAATTATAATCATTCCCCAAATTATAACTTTATTAATTTATATATTTTAATTTAATACATAATTATTTCTTGAATGTGTAATAAATAAAGTAGTTTTTGATTTATTCAAAGAGAAGTGAACTAGTGTTCTCATGTTAAAGAAATAACAAGTTCAAAGCAACAATAAAATTTATTTTCAAAAGTGAGAATTATGTAAATATTTAAATAGTAAAAGCAATGTATAGACTATTTGAATTAATTTTGGCTGTTTGTTGGACAGAAAACACATGTTTATTTTGATAAAATAGTATAAGATAATTTACTGAAAAAAGTATCAGCAGCAACAACCTTTTCCCACTTTTTTGAGTAACAAATGAATTCAGCAATAAAAAAATTCAGATTCTTTTGAGGTGATTCACTCATGGAGCCAGTATTTCAGATCATTAAAAGTGTTGCTTAGAAAGGCCATGATGCATGGACTAAAAAAATGGTAGTCACAGAAGGGGGCGATATCTGATGAATATGGTGGAACATCCTATCAAAGTTTCTTCAAGGTTTCCTTCGCAACATGTGGTTTGGCATTGTCATGAACAAAATTACTTTGTCATGTCTCTGAGCATATTTTGGGCATTTGTCTTTTAAGTGTGCGATTCAAATTAAATAATTATGCTTCACAGTATTCACCATTCGACCTAATTGCAGCAGCTCATGGTACATCACACCGGCTTGATCCCACCAAATACACAGTATAATCTTCTTGCCATGAATATCTTGTTTGATGTTGATTGGTTGGCTGATATGTGCCTATGTTGCTGCCATGGCTTCTTTTTTGTCTTTGAAGCAACACTTCACAAATGGTTAAGCATTTCGCAATGTCTCATTCTGTCAATTCATGTAGTACCCAGTTTTTCAATTTCTATATCATTTCTATTGCTTTTAAACACTTACTAACAGTTGACACTAGTATATTTAGTGTTTCAGACAAATGTATAAGCATCGGGATGAATCTCCTGCCACTTGTAGGGGTTTATTTTGATTTCCTAATACAGTCAAAAGTCCTTAATCCGGACTCCTCGGGACTTCGGCGATTCCAGATTATCAGTTTTTCCGGATTATAGATCATCAGTTTAAATCTGGTAAGATGGCATGCAGAAATTATAAAATTAAAAATATGAAATCGTAATTTATGAAATAAAGAGCAATTATATCTAAAGGTATCAAAATTTACAAAAAAAAAAAAAAAAAAAAAAAAAAAAAACTTATATGTATTTGTTACTTTATAAACATTTCTTTCAACGCACGCATGCGTAAAGCATACATTACGCATAGTCGAAATTACAAAATTGCAACCAGAAAACTATTTGATGTGTATTCGTGATATTTATGCCAACGAGGAATTTTATTCTGCACGTTCCACTTCATGCTTCCTGATCTAGAGAGTTTAATTTTAACATCGCCAAATTCATGTTGATTTAAATCATATCAAAGACGGAGTACATCGAGATGAAATACTGCATTTAGTAAGGAATTATAAGCCGAATAAAACAAAAACATCTGCCCTTAAGATGAGGATAGTGCTGACAGAAATTGATAAATAGATTTCGGAATGGTTAGAGAAACAAAGGATATGCCTTTATCCATTTTTTGCAGCAATTCCACTTTTTGTTTGATGGAAATTGAAACAAGCTTTCGCTTTGTAGATCCTTTGGCAGCTCCAGAATCGGAAATTCTTTTTAACATAATCGAAAGTTCAAGTTTACTTTTATAAAATTGCTCTAACGTCTGCAAAAAAAAATAAATAAATAAATAAAAAAACTAAAAAAAAAAAAAAAAAAAGCCGGATCCAATTCAAAGATTAAGGAACAACACAATCTGCAACATTAACTGAAATAGATAATTAGATCATTTTAGCTTAGCTTATACCATCCATTATACATTAAACGCACATGCGTAAATGTATTATTCACATAATACATTTACGCATAAATACATTTACATATATGCATAAAGGTATTATACGCATGCGCAGAAAGTTTGTAGCTTTGGGGTCCAGATTATAGATCATTCCGGATTTGGACGTCCGGATTAAAGACTTTTGACTGTAGTTAGTTTTATTTTTAATCATACTTTTCTTTAATCCCTTATTTTCCACCTACAATTCCCTGCCAGAATGAGTTTTCAGGATCGCATTTTATGTGAATGAGGTAGAACCAGTATTTAGTGTACTTTGGTAGTATAAGTTTCGATCACTTTAATAGAAGAGCTTAGAAGTTTTTAATACAGCATGTTCTGCCTTCTAGCCCCCATCATTGCTTTAGGCCTAGTTTTACTATGTTCAGCCATATTGTCTGTCTATGCAGCTTTGGTTTATTTTAATTTAATTAGTGTTAGATTAGTTTCTTATTTTCTATCTTAAGCCCAAGTGGAGGCTACTTGGGCTCGAGAGGGGCCATTTGTGAATCATTATTGAGTTGAATAAAAGGGTAATTTAACCTTTCTTTGCATTTTCATTTACCTTAGTGAACTCTGCGATACTTTGCTGCACAATTCACAAGTATTCTAGCTTGTAAGAACTACAAATTTAACTAGAACATTATACAGTAATGCCTCCAACTCTCCATCATCAAACTTTTTCGGCTGCCCAGGAAGCATTTTGTAACTCAACTCAAAATCGTTCTCTTTGAATCATCAAAAGCAATCTCTGCACATTGTTTCTAACAGAGCACATTCTCATACACTTCCACTGGCAAAGGATGAGTGTCTGCAGCAGATTTCTTGAGATAAAAGCAGAATAATGCTTCCTGCAAATGCTGTTTTGTAAGTACAAAATCTAGCATGTTCAAGGCACTAAATAGGTATGTTCCTTTCAATCCACTCGAAAGTCATACACAGATCTGAAAGCCTGATATTTACACTATTGTATCACTGCTCACTATGCTGCACTAGTACAACTACTGCCCTTTCTGCATCAACAACAAGAATTAATTCAAATTCCAGTATCAAGTGATGTGAATAATTTCAGATGATATAATTATATTAAATATTAATTGTTATCATCATATATTAATGCATTTAAACAAATAAAATCTTTATTATTTCATCAAATAAAGAATGTAATTTCAGAACACCATGCTTCTTGAGTTAAAAACCATGAACATACCAACAAAATGCCAAATATGGCTATTTTTAATTATCTCCATTGTTGCATTGTTATAGCAACATTCAGCCAAATGTTTTCTTCACTGCTAAATCCAAGCATTTTCACTCTGCACTTTCTTATGATGTGTATAAGCCTTCTCATGAGTTAAAAATTGTTTTCTTTATCATTGGATGAAAACTAATGCAGAATGATTTTTGAATGAGTACTTTATTTTCTAGATTCTGCAGCCATTTAATAAATTGCCTTTACACTTAGAAATAAAAATCCTTTGCAGATTTTTTTCTTTAACATCATAGTATAGATCTAGCATAAAAGTGAAAAACTGTCCACTACTTAGCCTAAGTGATAACCTGAATCTGAATTCTTTTGAGGCGGGAAGGGGATAATTTGGAAAATTAAGTTATGAAATGGATCCTTGAACAGTATATGGATGATGGACTAATTTCTTCAAAGTATGAAATCCCAATTTACTAGAATACTATCAGAGTTATGAAAAATGAAATACTATAATTAGCAAGTTTAAAATTTTCTTGACTCTTACTTTGTTAAATCTATGTGATGCAAAAGATACAGAAACCATACCAAAGATCCTTAGTCTGCATTTTAGATGTGCATTAAAAATATTAAGAAACAAACTAAACATAAGTTTACACATTTTTTGTGTGTTTCTTGCTCTTGAAATTTTACTATTTTATTGATTGGTTGCTCTTTCAGTACATTTTTAGTGTGCTGCTAGCTCATGCACATCAGTTTAATGGAAGTTTTTTAATGTTGCCGTGAAGCAATTAATTCTGGAAAATCCCGAATAAATTCTTACTACTAATCTATGTTTATAGTCTTTTTAAAGTTAAGGTAAATTAAACTGTTTGATTGCACTTTAGGATGAATGATTTTAAACTGTGAAATAAAATATCTTATTATGTGTAAAATAAATTTAAATATTATATGATTGGTATCACAGTTGCAGAAAACATGTTTTAAGCACTTAAAATAAAATAATTGAGCAACAGTAAGTGATTGCATGATTTTTATTATGAAATCAGAGTTAAAAGAATTTTAATAACAGTGTGTGTGATGATTTGGGAATCATGCAGATAAATGTTGATGCACAAAATAATATATGCATGCAGTCTTGACAGATTTTTAACTAAACATTTTGCAGTCACAAATATCTTGACACACTAACTGTGCCTGTTCCAGAATACAACATTTACATTTTTGATACTACTGGAGAAAGGAGAAAAAGCATCTGAGCAGCAACAGAAGGAGAAACAAAGTGCATTGTGTTCAGGGTGAAATCTTAATTAAAATGAGTTAGTTTAAGTTTTTTAATACAGATCGGATAATTAATAAAGCTTTAAAACTATAACTGGCTAATTTTGTTCCAGCATTATGTAAAAGTCATATGATATGGAATCTAGATAAGACGTAAAATCTAGAAAAGTAGTTTCTAATCTAGAAAAAGTTATTTTAAGCAATTGTTATTTTTAGAGCAGAAAGAGGAAATATTGAAATTGAAATGAGGAATTAAGAAGCTATTGCTAATTTAAGTTACAATTGTGATTTACATCTGTTTGTGTATTACATGTATACTGTTGCATGCATATGGGTTCATAATAGATTGAATGCACAAGTCTAATAATAGGCTAATAAAAATTTATTTTTATCGAAAGAAATATTTCAGAACTCTGGAATTTTCCACAGAAATATTTGTACAAGTGTTCACAGTATCACACAGTATAATCGGTAGTTATACTTTAAACTACTAAAAACAGACAACAGACTAAGCACTTCGAAAGAGAAAGCTAACTCGGATATCTCAGTTCACGCAGAACTAAACAACTCACAGCAACAACTAAGCAACTGATAGAAGATACTCTCTCTTCATGCTTAGTTTTCAACCAGCCGCAATATATTTTTGGTACTTTCTGCTTCTTTAGATTACTGGAAAGCAATACCAGGGTGGAATTACGATTACAGCTAACATAGTGGTCAATTACATTAATTCAATTTCAATACATATTACACTGATGCAAGGACTAGACCAAATTGTTGCCAAATTTGGTGACTTGGCAACAAAATGAGTTGCCAAAATTGTTGTCAGCTTGGTGATATCTCACCAAATTACGAAGATGCCCATTTACTCAATGCTAAATGCACTTGCCCCTGTATTTTTAATTTTCTGGCATAGATTTCTCTTAAAATTTGTCTTGCACTACATTGCACAGAAAAATGCAACAATATTACTTATAATTCTATTAAAATTACCTGTCTGAGTACAAAATTCGTAACAATGTACACATATTGAATGATTGAGTTTTTATTTAAATTTTGAGTTAATTCTGGTGTAATACATGCAACTTGTTTAATGTCTCAAACATAAATAAATTTAAAACTCAAGTGTATATGTCAAATATGTAAGATTTATATCATGATTTCAGAAGTAAATACTTAAATTTTGTATGATGCCAATAGTTATGGTTCCTAAACTTTTGAAGACTGAAGATAATAAATTTTCCCAAGGACATATTTCAAGTTTAAAATCACTGATATATGTGTTTTAATGTAGCATTAACAGAAATACTTTTAATATAATTATTGCAAATAAAAATTTACATTATATTTTTTAAGATCTATATGAAATTCATTTTTCTTGAATATGTTTATTTCTAAGTGCCGACTTATTTTGTTATTAATTTATATTTAAATTACTTAACTGGAGATCTGTATGTGGACTATTAATAAAACTTTTTCAGGATATGAGCAAGAATTTTGAAGATAATACAGAATTAATAGAATTATTTCAAGTTGCTGAAATATCATTTGATCAGTTACCTGAACATTTACTTAAAGAAGCTGTTACTATAAATGGAAGAATAGAAGAAGCAGATTTAGGTTAGTTTTGAAAATTAATTAAGTAAAGATATGAATTAATCCATTATGTTTATGTAAATTTTAATTAAAATAAGTGACTTGTTTCTTTCCAGTGGAATCAGAACCATTTTCCGTAATATTAATAGACAGCAAGTTGGAAAAGTGTTCTAGGTGTCGTCGATATTCATCCAAAGATCCATCTTTACTTTGTAACCGATGTGAAAATGTAGTTAATGAAAATGTATCTGTTTCATAAAACATATAATTTATTACTATAAAGCAGAGTTTGCATTTATAATTTGCACTTTTATACAATGATCGTAAATACTATTCAGATATGTTTTTAAGAATCAATACCAGCTATTCCAAAATAAGTGTTAGGTAGAAGAAAAAGTCTCTGGACTGTTGATGCCATACATTTACAGCAAGAACACACAGTGTATAAGTTGACCATAGATATGCCACACATGTGCCCTAATTTATAATGTCTACATCACTTTCCTTGTTTACAGGAATCTTTTGAAGAATTATATGGAACGCCTCTTGTTACATTTACCATGGTAGAGAAATATTCGCTTCAGAATTTGCATCAAATTTTGCAAAGTACTTGGGCAGAAAGTGTATGTCAAAGAATGTATGAGCCACACATCATTTTATAAGAGATTCGGTTATTTCAAAAATTGTTGAGAAAAAGAGAAAGTTTTTAAATCATCCTTTATGAGTTATCTGAAGAATTCAACATTACTTAAAGTTTCAGTCCATTCTTATTAAAGATTGGGTTGAAAGTCATGTCTACAAAGGTTGCGCCAAAAGTGCTTTTGGACAACCAAAAATAAAACTTGGGTTTTTTGCTGGGCAAGATTACTGATTTGTGAGTATGTGGCCCTGAAACCAAAGCTCAGACTTCACAATGGAAGATCCCGATCTCTCTAACACTCAAGAAAGTATAAATGCTTCAAAAGCAATTTAAAGCTATTTAACTATCTCCCCCCCCCATGTCAAGGGAATGAATATTCTTTACTTGGCCAAACAGTAACCAATAAGTGCTAATGTAAGTTGCTGTGGTGCTTTAGGGATGCTTTCCACTGGAAAGTTTAGAACTGTCTGCAATTTTTTCCTTTTTCTCAAAATCAAGTTTCACCTTAGATGTTGGATCAAATCCAAGAGAATGAGATGACGCAGTCACTTGCAACCTCAGAAAAAGAGTTCCAGCAATGAAAACAAAATTGGTGGTCTCAGGTAATTATTTTGAGGTTTGAAATATAAGCCCTCTAATTTAAAGGAGATTAAATGCGTGATCTGAAAGTGATGTAGTTTTTCTTAATAGCTTCAGTCCCAATACGTTTTTATAATATCTGATAATGTCTATAGTTGGTTGAAATGGTATTTGAAAACTATGAAGTTATACTTATTTACTAATTAAAAAAATATATGAAGTTGAGTAGTAAATCGCAAACTTTGGATCTCAAAACTATTGAAGCATTTAAACCTCTGTGTCATCCTCGTACAATAAATTACTATGGCAGCATTTATCGATTCAAGATGTGTAAATGAACTAATTTCAAAACTTTTTTGGAAAAGCCGAACATCTGTAAGAAGCATGAAACAATGCAAATATAGTACTAAAAAAAATGCATTTTAGATAAAGTCAGTTTTTGAAACACACTTTTAGAACAACAGCATAACTTCTGATGGAGCTAAAATACTGACAATTTTACTACGTGAAATTTTGAATTATATAAGCAAATAAACACTATCTGTAAACTCTACTAAATTGGTTGATTTAATTTACAAAGTTCAAACTGTTTTTGAAAAGCAAGTAGGCATACTTCATCAGGTGAATATAGTAGAAAATATTTTTGAGGTTGCTGAGATAACATTTTGAGATGCTTTGTAAATAAGATCTCTTTTGATTATTTTAAAATACAAGTATTTTCTTTTTTTCTTTCAGTGACATCATTTACTGTCTTTGAAATTAAATCATAATGTTTTTAATATAACTGTATAAAAAATCAATACTCTATTGCACTTCTATTTCAGTATGTTTTTTGACAGATTTCAAAAACCTTGAATAGGATAATTTCATTATGCAAATTGATAACTGCTATCACCAAAAATCATCTAAAACTGTTTCAGAGTTTCTTCGTATATATAATCTTTCATTTGCTGTATCTATATTCCAAACTAATATATCCAATTACCTTAACCTCGGACAAATTTGTCTAGCACTCCTTCATCTTGCATATATTATTTTGATGCTGGAAGATGAAACTGTACAATTTTAATGCTGTGTAAATATTATATCATTCTTTCTTTTACCATATATTAATGCTACTTTATATTTTATATGTTTAATATAACTTCACAGTTATACTTTATAAACGTATTCAAAAATTTTCCCACATGAATTAGTGATTAAATACTTCTTTGTCTAAATCCATTTCGGCTTGCAAAACGTTTCACAAAAGTAATCTACATTTGAAAAACAGAAGAAACCTTATATTCAAAAAAAGAGAGGAAGAAGACAAAAATATCTTATTTTTGTTTTTGAGTAATTATTATAAAAAGTACATTTCATTTCAAACAATGGATTAACAGTTCAGAATAATAGCTAAATATAAATTTTCATCACATTATTCCATGAACAGGAGGATGAGTACATGAGAATTCCATAGCTTGCATTATTTGCGATTTTGGATATTTTTCACAAAGGTTGACTAGAACGTACAGGAATTCAAGAACGTATGGGTTCTGTCAAAAGTTTCCAAAAGAAAAGATTCATAAATATAAAATTTAACCATGTAATTTTTGTAAGAATATTCTAGAAAATGAATTTTATTTAAAATATATTTTATGCATAGAAATTTCACTTATATAAATAATATTTAACATACCTTAGATAACTGGAAACATTCTTCATTAAAATATTGACGAACATCATCATAGCATTCAAAGTTAGTCAATTTAGAATGATACGCTACCATATCATACACATCCTTTATATGTGGAACAGTAGCATTGGCAATTTTCATCATGACATCATAAACAAACAATCGATTCTAGAAAAAATAATTAAGTGAAAATTAATGGCATTTTTTTAAAAACAGAGACAACTTTCTTTTTCCTTCTAATGCAATTTACTATTTGCATGTATAAACTTTTTATACCACTTAAAACATTTGGAAGTAATAATCAATCATGAATAAGTTCAGTGAAATGGCTTTAAACTGAAATGGCTCAAATTCCTATCAAAATAAATGCAGTTATTTATTTTCAATGTACTAATAAGAAATTAACAAATGCTGCAGATTTAGAAATTGTGCAAGCTGCATTTTGCTTAAGGACATAATTGTTTTCCCTTGTGTCATAATCTTTGATTTAGAAAACTTCTAAAGAAAGCCTTTTTCTTAAAAACTTCAGTGTTGTTTTGTTAAAACTGCACTGAATACTTTTTAATTAAATACTTAATCCCATTTGAAGGGGTGCTCAACCTTTTCTGTGCCATGCACCCCTTTCTCCACTGCTAGAAGTTCATTCCCTCCCTTTCTAAAACTTGAAAAATACATCTATAATTAATTAAATTTAGATTATTAGCCTAGAAGGGCTATTAATTTCATTTTGGCACTTTGCGTCGTAAACTTTACGTGTGCATTTCACTTTTCAAATTGTTGCCACCAAATATTATCACCCTGTGTTATATTTAAAGAAATTAAATAATGAAGAATCTGCATAAATCTATGCATGTTTCTTGCACTGTGATAAAACAACGGTACCTAGAGCCAAACGTATTCCTCCACTGAATATAGGTATTTAGAAGCCCTAATTTGGAATTTGTTTTATTATCTATTTCATATTTTGTAACACTTTAACGAATATTTGATTAACAAACTCAATGATTTCAAAGCAAGCAATGGCAACACTGCATGGGGGGGGAAACATTTTTATCTCCAGCGTGACAGGCTGTATATCGAAAATTCTAAAAATATGCTCATTTTAAAATTATTTGTGATATTGCTCTTGAGTTGAATTTTATGGTTTTCATGCACATTTCAGAACATGATATTTAATAAATAAAGGTAACACACAAAATGTCAAAAAGAAAAAGGCCCCTTTGGGTGAAATGTAAAGTCAATTGTCAAGATTTTTTTAACATTTTATTAATTTAAAAAAGTATAGAAAATATTAATAAATACCAAAAACCTTAAACACTGAAAAGCTAAATAACAGGTTGACCACATCCCCTCCTGAAACTGCAAAAATATCCCCTTAATTGAGAATCCCTGAACTAAAGTCTTCACAGAATATCTGTTTACAGTAGGTAATTTTTAACAAATACATGTACCTATAAAGTATTTTGGCCCCTTGTGTTATAGTCATCGATTTAAAAACTTCTAAAGAAAGCTTATTTTGGCTAAAGAATACTTTTTATTAAATACTAAATTCCATTTATGCACTATCAGCAAAAGTGTCTTCAAAAAAAGTACAAAATATCTGTACATATTAGGGAACTTTTTAAAATTTCTGTACCTATAAAGTAATCTCTTCCCCCCCCCTTTATAATCCTTGATTTAAAAAATTTACAAAGAAAGGTCATTTTGGTCTAAATATTTTTTAATTCTAAATTCCTTTTGTCTGTTAGCAAATTTGTCTGTTCTATTAGCAACCAAAAAGGACTTCAAACAAAAGCAAAATTTTTGTGTTTGTTAAGTTGCTTAAATGCTTTTGAAACAAATCTTTTAAACATTCACTTGATTATATAAACATAAAAGTCACACATCTTTAGAAGAATCACAGCAAATCCTGTTGGTGAATCCTTTAAAATTAGTCCAAGTTACTTATAGTTTCATTTTTCTATTACAAGGACTATAAACCAATATTGGACCTATAAACTATCAGTTTGATATTTTAAAAACATGACCACAAATCCTTACTTGTAGTGATATCCAGTATATCTATGTAGTATGTTATTATCTCACAGATGAATTAAAGATATAAATAGTTGTAATGAGATCCTTAATGTATTAATGAACTGCTTAGTCGACAGCTCATTAATTACAGATAATACTACAGTAATTATGAGAATATTTACTTGCTGTAGCATTTTCCAGACACATATGTCTTCAGATTATTTACTTTATGTTGTATTACATGTATATGAGATGTAATATGTTTTTAATTTCAAGCAGCAATTAAAATGTTTGGTAAAAACTATCACGAAACTCACAAATTTTTTGTAAGAAAATATCTAAAATATATATAGAAATAAACACTTTACTGTTGTTAAAAATGCATAATGAAATTTGGAAGGAAGAATAAAAAAACTTGTGTTAAGTGGTATTTCTAATAGTAATTATAAATTAACGAAATTTAAGATTTTTTATACTAATTACAATGTAACTACTTCACACACTGATATTAAAAGGCATCTTTAATAAGTATAGAAATATTTTAGATAAGGAATGTGCTACTTACTCTGTACATTTTATTCAGCTTCTTTTCAAGTCGTTTCCTATCTACAATTGAATCAGTATTCATAAGTTTCCGCCTTAGCAATTCAACAGGTACATCACGACTTTTCACTGCATTTAACTGCAATAAATTGCCACAAATTAAAATTTTTAATGATTTTGAGTATTATGCAAAATATTTTAAAGCACAAAATTTATTAACACATTTTTTAATTGAAATACTGACATGCGCTGGGTTAAAACAGATATTATTTGATAAAAATGATTTTGTTTACCATAATAATTTTATATTAAAAGTAAAAACAGAGAAATAATGTCAGACCTAATTCATTTTTATTTTCCTTTTAATCTTTTAAAAAATATCTTTAAATAGCCATTAATCGTCCTTTGGTGAACATTCACAGGACCATGGCTTAGTCCATTATCAGAGTATCTGCTACTTAATAATGTTTCAATAGTCTGAAAATCCAAGAACTGTTTGTTAAGAGGAATTGTTTGTTGAAGCAGAATGACCATTAATTAAGGTTTGAATGTATATTTATCAACAAAAAACTGAATTTTATAAAAGTGTTCAGTTTAGTACATAAACCTATCAAATAAAAATTTAGCCTGTTCAGAAAAAAGATTAAACAATCGGTCTATTCCTGAAAGATTTGACTGGATATTTTTCTTCTTTTAAAATCTCCTGGCTACATTCAAGACAATGATTTAAAAAATATTAATGCATCATATTCATAAGATTGAGCCCAGATTTATAATTATGACTGAAATATTCCCAAATGATGTTAGGAATCCATAAACACATAGCACATGTATGGATAAAAACTACCTGGGCCAGAAACAATTTTGAATAATGAAGTGAATAAATACATTATTCAGAACTACGATTATCAAAAGACATTTCAAGGTCATTTAGCAGATGGTGAAATGAAAAGATTTCCAGGCTCATGTTTCATCTACATGGCAGGAGGTAATTTATTGATATAGGAGCATTTTTCTCCATATTCAGAATTTTACAATATGAAAGCCTGGGCACCATAACATTTTTTAAGCATTCCATATTCAGTAAAATAAGTATTTATATCCATAGGTATGTAATTGTTAGTAACAAAAGGTGTTCCAAAACAAAAAAAAATTGCACCAATTTGGAAAAAATGACCACTCATTTTTAAACTAAATGCTGAAACAAATTCGTCTAATGCCAATAAATGTTTTAGGGGGGGGAGAAACTGTGTGAATTTGACATTTAATTTTGTGTAAATATTTACTCCTTGTGCAAAGTGAGGCTTGCATTGTTTAAGGGTTAAACTAAAAATGTAGATTTTATATGAAAAACTCGTGATTATAGAGCAAAATCTAAATCATTTAATAATTAATATTCCTGACTACATCTGGAAAAAAACTTATATGTCATTAAAAAACTACCTTTATGCACTTGAAAACAAAAAGATAATGCATATTTAAATTTACAATTAACATACCTCTGCTTTTGGCAATATGATAGGAACTGTGGATTTCTTGCCTTGAAATTCACTGACATGCATTTTGGCTATTTTCTGGGAAAGAAAGAAAAAAAATTACTTTCATAAAAAAAATTTTTCCCTAGCTTTTGTTCAGTTTCCTTATATTAGTGTTTCAAGAAAAAAGTCATAATCATCAATAATTATAATTATTTGTCATGACTATACTTAATCTAAAAATACACAGTGGCTTATTATTTGTCATGACTATACTTAATCTAAAAATACACAGTGGTTTAGATATTAATATAATGATTGTGTCCCATTTTTCCAATAATTTCATAAAATTGTAAAAAAAAAAAAAAAAAATTCAATACATTAGCCATGCATTTTATTGTCACTTAACTAACTGTTAACCTTAATTGTTTAAGCAAAACTAAAAGCATAAGTTAAACAAAAAATTTCTACATTAATCCATCAATGATTCTGAACTTTTATAAAATATTCTTACTTTTTCCATTTCTCACATAATAGTTCATATACTTTTAATATGATCTATTAAGAAATTAACCCAGAACTGGTTTAGGTATTTGTATAGTAGTCAGTACCTAGTAATAAATTGCTAAAAAAACACCACTTAACTCTCATTCCTGTGACCATTCAACAATCAAAGTTATTCCAAATTCTTCTAGAAAAAAAATAACTTTTTTATTTCTCTGCCAGTTTTCTCATCAATATTCTTTGTTTTGTAGAAACAACATCAACTTCAGATCAATACAGCCACAATTTGCAATTCTTAGAGGTGGAAGTGGTAACTCTTTCTTCACAGAAAATTTCAGGACAACGTTTAATTGTTTCCTGATTAATTTTTAATGCATTACTATATTTGCTGAAAAATGAAGCAAACAACACAATCCATTATTTCCAGCCATTTGATATTTTCCCAAGAAATCACACGTATTCTGATTCTTAAGTAAATAATTCACACGACAGAAGATGTATGATGTAAATGTAATGTCAACAACAGCTGAAAACATGTTGACATTGACATAAGAACTGAAAATTAGTTTCTAGGAAATCTCTGACCTTCTTATTCAGCATGGTTCGTATGGAGAAAGGGGCAGCTGTAGAAAATAATAATCTGAATACAATTTTAAATGCAAATACCTAATAATACCTGCAAACAACTTTAAAAGAAAACTGTTTCATTGATCTGCTGATACAGAAAATATATTTCATTGCCAAAAGACGCCAACAGATTTTTTTTCTTTTTCACTGGAGAGTGCTATTAAGATAGAAGTACATAGTTACTGCAACCACCTTAGTAGAAGTCACCAAAGTTTTAGAATATGCCCAATTCTAGTAACCATACGCATAAGCATTCTTCAGGGAAACATTCTATAACAATCCTTTAGTCAAGCAGCATCACCTTTTTCAAATGCATTCTTTTATTATTATTATCATTTAAATATTTTTTTAGACAAATCGAAGTTCAAACGGTTTTATACACAAATTATATTTTTCGCCACAAACTCAATTTTAAAGTATGTGCTTGTGAAATTTGCCAGGACTAGAAGAAGAAGCTGCAGTAAAAATTTTTGCAGAAATACAGAATTCTGCTGTGAAAACGCTAAAGGGAACAACATGGAAATGTGCTTGGTAGAGAGCCAGTGTTGCTGAGGTGTGCGCAAAGTCGTGTCTATACAATTCTCTGATACTTATTAAAACAAAAACAGATCACTGTGTAACATCAGAAGAACAGCACAAAAAATTACAGTAAGACCTTGCAAAGAATATAAAAGTGTTTCATTTTTTAAATGTATCATATAACAAAACTTGTACGGTCTTTAAAAGTACTTACTTGTCCTTAGGTCATTTGACAATGATCTTTAGCCCTTAGAAGTCCTTAATTTTGGCCAAAATCAGCAAAAGGTCTTAAATTTTACTCCTCTGACATTTCTGTCTTTTTTTTTTTTTTTTTTTTTTTGTTACGACTTCTATTTTGAGTGTGAATTAACATTTGGGCGATGCATTGACAAATATGTATTTGATGGATTAATGTTTGAATTCTTTCCTACTTCTTAATATAAATGATATTTTAAAAGCACGAGAGCTGGTTTCAATTGAAACATAAACGACTTTTTTTTTTTTTTTTTTTTTTTTTTTTTGCAAATGAAGAATTCGTAAAATATTACATCAAAAACAACTTTTCCCTTTTTGAGATAAGAGTTCTTTTATTATGCTCCTCTAAATTTGGCAATTTATCAATATTTTGGCAAAATATATTATCAAAATTACTTTGTCTATAAAATTTTTTAATTGGGACATTTGCGAAATTTTGATGATTTTTTACAAACGCAGTAACTGATAAATATTATAAAAATGATAATAAATTAAAATTATATTTAAGAAAAAACATTAAAATAAAAAATGTTTATTTTTCTTGCCATATTTTTAAGTGACAATGCTTTTCATTTTGGTGATTTTTTATTCTGAAAAATAAACAAGATAATAAATCTTAGAAAGTGGTTCCAGAAACACTTCTTATGAAAAAACAAAAATGCTACTGTAATTATTTAAAAATTAATTTCTTTCTTTAAATATTTTTTCATGTTAAGTTTTTCCTGTGTGATTGTTTCAAAATATTTACATGTGTATCAGTTTTCTCTTGAAAATTCACTTTACCCTTCTCTTTTCTGAATTTTTTAAAAAAAATCTACTGGCTTTTTTTCTCTTATAGAGTTGGAAGGGATAATTTTTCATTTGGATTTTAGATCTTGCACCCCAGAGGGTTTAGAAGGATTTAAAGGCATGATTTATAGACCAAAAATTTCCAGAAAAATGTGACAAAGGGCAAAGTGTCTTCATGATATTAACACGTAATAGATGTGTTTTATAGGACATTAGTGATGAATTACTTATCTTTTGCAGAATATTTGAAAGAAAATTATTTGAATTTTCTCCTTTTGATCCCAGAAAGTTTTTAATAGGTTTACCTTCCCTTTATTTTCTTACCTTTTCACTAGACACAAGCATTGAAGAAAGCAAAGTAATAGAAAACTGACAGTTAATTAAAAGATTCATCATATATGTCTCAGTGCACCATACATACCCTAAATTCTAAAAATGTTGCCCTTTATTTTATTGCTCTATGTTTTACTAAAGTCTAAAAATTCTGCCATGCTGGCTCCGGCACTGGTCTTGACCTTATATCATTTCATATTTATTGTCAATACTCATATTATTAAAGAAATAAAATTAGCAGTTTCTTCTATGCATTTGAAGTAAAAGCAGTTCTTTAGAATCACAAATCTTTTAATTAAATTTGAAAATTCTAAAATAAGGAGGAATTTTATTGAAAAAGAAATCGGTTTTATAAAGAGAGAGAAAATCATTCTTCAAAGGTACACTGTTGAAACATTAACAAATTAGGAGATGAAACAGAGACTAGTGGGAACAATAATTTGTTTATTGAAACAAGTAAACTTAGAAAAGATGCTAAAGAGAAGAAATCAATGTAAATTAGCTAAAATATCTGGAAAACGTTTAAGTTAAAAAGATGCATAAGCATTTTATTGTTGCTACAAAACAAATTTTTTGTAGCTTTTTAATGTACAGTTATATTAATATCACTTTAGAATCATTATTATAAATTATAACTGCTGTAAAATGTTCTTAGTGCTTTTTAATGGATATTTTATTAAAAGTAAAAAATTTGTAATTGTAACCGTGTGAAGCTCTTATAACTAAGAGTATCTATGACTAACTGCTCACTCTTACAGTTTATCTTTACATATTAAGGTGAATTATCTCTTTTCCTTAATCCTTATTATGTACACAAGATACAACACAAAAATGTAAAAAATTAATGTAAAAATTTATTCCTTACAGCTAATGAGACTTAAAATAATACAAAACAACGTAACACCTCTTGTACTTCAGTGGCTTATTGGAACTTTATGTACAGTATTTATACTGTATAATTACTGGGTTACAACTTCAAATCTACATGAAGCTATGACACTAATTGGGTCAGACAAAATGCAACTAACTTTTCAACACTTATCAACGTCAGGTGTTTGTGTCTGTTCTGATCAGCAGCTTTTTATCTCTAAGCTAGTAACTGCGGTGGGAACACTCAAGCTTCTGTTAATAGTTATGCTGATTATTATTTTACCTCACAGTTTAATTTATGCCACTTGACATAGAATTTACATATACCTCTGGACTGAGTGAGTTCTGACATAATGAGGCACAAAAGAAAGAATCAATATAAAGCTAAATGTTAGTACAATTTAAATAAAAAGCCACTAATCTTCTTTAAAATTTGTAGGGCTATTATAAGTGTAAAATATAAATGTTTCAAGAAATTTTATAATTTAATGCTAATTACTCAAAAAAAATTGAGAAGTTAATTATAAAAAAATTCAAGATTAAAACTTAATATTATATAATGTTTAATAATAATGTATCCTACTTACAGATTTATTTTATTCATACAAATTACAAAAAGATATTACAAACGTGAAGTTTGGGTGTAGATAATGGCTTTAAGTTCATTCAGTTCATATTTGCTTGATAGGTCCTTAACTTTTTTCATTGATGGTTTTTAAAGTCCTTAAAAGTGTTTAACTTCCATGTGCAGAAGTGTGTACAATCTTTACATAATCGTTATTTAAAATAAAATTTGTGTTTTAAATTGCTGAAGTATGTTTTCTTTTCATACATTGATTATATTTGCCGACTTAACAATAAATATCAATTGTTTGAGAATCTTTTTTTAAAAAAAGTCATGAAATCGTCTAATAAGTAAATGTTACTATTTTATCTGCAACAAATCACCAGATTGCATCAATGCTGTTTACATTAATAATTTGATTAACTAAAAATATGCTCTTTTACTCTGTTTTTATATGATGTGTATTTTTCATTCTAATAAGCAAAATTATGTTAGTAATAAAAGTGAATAAAGAATAACAAATAAAAATTTTACTCAGAAAACATTTTTTTTACTTGTTTAAGTGGAAATATTATTACAGTAAATAATTATTTCTGAGAACTAAATATTATATAATGTTTTTCAAATACTGCAGAATCTGCTTTTTATTTACATATTTCAATCAACTCGCATTAGTATGATCTTCAATATGACAACCTGTTCCAGTATAAGGACCCATAATAGAACTGCAATCATTCTCTCATAAGTTTGTCATCTGTATCATGCAATGACTGTTGAATATAGCATCTTTTTTTTATCTTTAGAAGGTCACTGCAACATGAATCAACTACATTTAAATATTATATAATTTCCCTTAACAGCTAACTGAGCCATGGTAGAAGTAGCAACTTATCACAACAAATTTTTACAAGCTTGCAGTCTTTACAAATCATTCTCGAATTAAAAGTGCATTCAAGGAAGAAATTAGCAAAAGAATTTAATAATCATCATAATACCATGTCTCCAAATTTTTGAACATGACTTTGAGTTGTCTCTTCTTTGACTATTTTATACTGATGGTAGAGGGTTTCTTTTGTCAGCACTTCCTGAGGAAAAAAACCAAAAGATAAATCATTATTTATGATACATGTTAGAAAATAAATAAATACAAGTCATCATATGAAGACTTTAATTACCTGGTCTGAATCTTCCATCCATTTCACACTATAAACATCTCCTAAGTATGTTTGTCTTTTCTCATCAAAATAACATGCATAAGATGACTCCTCTCCATTTGCAGCAGTAGTAGCATAAACTTTGAAAAAAGAAAAGAAACTGTGATCTAAAGACTTAGTTACAGTCTAACTCTTTATAAAGTTTTATCATTAATAATTTTTAAACAGGTAAAAGAGTGCAATTTTTTTTTAATTATTCTATTATAAACTACAAATCAGAAACATCTCTTATTAATTATAATAAAGCTACAAATGAAATAAATTAAAAACAAGGGAATTTATTAGAGAATTCCAGTCTTGAGTGTTACATTTACAGTAAGACCCCCGCTTAACGCTGTTTCGTTTAGCGCTTTTCGGTTTAAGCGCTCTTTTATTTCAACCCGGGGATTCCACGAAATCGCTCGCAGCATACGGGGATTCCCCGAAATATTATGCAACGATAGGTTTCAAATACATATCCGAAAGAGTGTACTTGTATTTCTTGTTTGGTGCGGTATTGTACAGACATATTTTGAAGGGGTAAATGTGGAAGATGTCGAAGAAAAAAAGAAATAATTCAAGAAGCAGCGGCTAGTCTTTCTCTAATGATGAGCTCAAGGAATTAACTGAACAAGAAGAGAAAACAAAAATGTTGACAACAGTGATTCAGAAGAAGTTTAAAGAAATTACAACATCTTGTCTACCGTGGTAAAACTCCTTCTATTACTGTCTGCCTTGATCACTGTTTCTACGAGTTAGTGAATTGCTTCGGATTGAAAATTCAGTCAATACTCATGTAATAAAGCAACCAAATTGTTAGGCTTTAAATTGAAACCTTGACTTTCAAATACCTTGAATTGTGTCTGTCCAGCCGCAAGTTAGCAGAAATTCATTTCGTTAATAGTTTTAGTATTGTAACTTCCACCTGAGGTTACATTTTAGCATCATAAGCTAATCCACTTATCCATATTAATCTTACAGCATTTACACAATAGAATAGTGAAAGAAAAAGAATGAATTTTAGATTTGGATCTCAGCATTTCACAGGCTCCCACTGTCCCCCAAAAATTCCTTTCATACTATCCATACTGTACTATACTCCATATTTACCCCTCCATATTTTAGATTATTTTCAATGCTAATCTTGCATTTCAAAATTTTCACAACTTCATGCACCAGACTTTTTAACACTCACATATTCTTTCTGATATTCAGCAATGACTGATTTCATAGGTAGAAGAAAACGTGGCTACATAAAATCTAATAAAAAAAAAGGAATTATATATTATCCTTTGCTAAATATTAATCCTCAAGAAAAAGTGAATTAAAAAAACAATTTTTTATAGAACGCCCGGCATTTTATGACACATGCAGTAACAGAATCATATAGCTTAACTTTCTAACTTAGATTCTAATTATATCCTATTGTATATTTAATTTCTAATTCTGGATTTCAAGCTTTTTTAATGCTAGATTGATAAACACATATTTAAATCATTAAAGACATTTTTTCAGAAATCACGCAGAAGGTATGGATGTTTGTAAGTGTATAGCGTCTGTGCGGCATAGGAGCACTCTAAATATGCGGAGAGCCGAAGGCCGTACAACGACAGGCACATTTGGATCCTTGTCGTAGGCTTGTGCTGACTACTGTCAGACTAGTAAGACTGGCAAGAACAACCAAATTTGAGGGCATACAGAATATGAATCAAAAAATTATTTACAATAAATAAAAATGTGCTTTTCAGTTTATAAAGCTATAACAGTAATGTGAAAGCCTGTTTGGAAATGATATTATCAACAACACTAAAAATCAAAAACACTATATAAAGGTATGTAATACATAGCATTAGAAACAGCTTTTATTGAATACAGTACTAATGATGTAATCATTTATAAAAATCATCTGTTAATTATACCAATTATCGATATTATTGAAAGAAAAAAGGACAGTACTATATCTCCCGTTCTGCTAGGCCAATTGACGAAATTCAAATCATCATCATAAAAATCATCTGTTAATTATACCAGTTATACCAATCTTAATTATACCAATTAGCGATATTATTAAAAAAAAAAAAAAAGACAGTACTATATCTCCCGATAACTAGGCCGACTGACTAGGCCTATAACTAGACCGATTGACGAAATTCAAATCATTTATAAAAATCATCTGTTAATTATACCAATTATACTAATCTTAATTATACCAATGAGCAATATTATTAAAAAAGGACAGTACTATATCTCCCGATAACTAGGCCAATTGACGAAAGACGAAATTCAAACCATTTATAAAAATCATCAGTTAATTATACCAATCTTAATTATGCCAATTAGCGATATTATTGAAAAAAAAAAGGGGGGGACAGTACTATATCTCCCGTTCTGCTACACCGATTGACGAAATTCAAATTACGTTTTACATGTCTCGAAAGCTCGACTTAGGATATATATTAGATTTATATATAGCATTGTTTTAACATAGGTGTTTTGACATAAAATCGGACTTTTTCTGAAATAACATACATTTTTTCATATTTCGATTCTACGACTCAAATTATGCCTCTAGATATTAAATTTTGTAATTTTTGGTGAAAAATTTATCTTCGCGAAATTTTTCTTAGTTTGTGCCATTTCTTATTATCGCTTTAAATACGCCAAATTTCAAAACGTGCCAAAATGTAAATGCACGTATCTCTTAGGAAATTTTGAATAACTACTTTTTTGCAGGTATGCTTAGAAATGCATCTACTTTAAAACGATGGCAAGAATTTTATAGGTTATAATTCAAAATATTTTCCAAACATTTATAAAAATTATTTAAAAATAGGTATCTTAAAAACAAATCATAAAAAATGGACGAATTTTATTTGGAATGAATCTAAATTTCGAAATACGAAAGGAAGAATCAAGTAAGTTTCATAAAAAAAAGGAGTGAGATATTAATAAATATATATCAAATTCAATTAACACTGAGGAGCTGAGCTAAAATTTTGAGAGGCAAATTTTTGAAAAACTACTCGTGCGATTTTTACAAAACTTGAAGTTTGGAAGTTTGGCATAATTTGAGTCGTAGACTCGAAATATGGAAAAAAACTGGCATGTCATTTCAGAAAATGTTCGATTTTGTATCAAAATACCTATATTAGAAAAATGCTATTTTGCATATTTAATACATATCCTGAGCCGCGCGCTTTCAAGACATGAAAAACGCAAGTTGAATTGAAGTTGAATTTCGTCAATCGGACCAGTAGAACGGGAGATATAGAACTAACCCCTTTTTTTTTTTCCTTTTCCTGCGCAGTGTACAATTTAAATTTAAAAAAAAAAAAAAAAAAAAAAGTAAAGATCTTATGCTGCGTTGAATGGCAGTACCTATCGGTATAGAAATGCCCAATCCACGTGGATCATAAATTTAAATATTTTACGTTCTACAGAATGCTAATATTTGGTGTATATTAAGTCACGTGAATGAAAAATTGACGTGTAACGTAAAGTGAAGCGAAAACTGGAAATATTATAAACTATAGATATTTATAAACGTCAAATTTCTAGAGAAGTCTTAAGGGGACTCTTACACCTTAAAACCCATAAGATTATCGAATATGTGACTGTTGCAAGAATTGGGATAACTTATTTATTTTAAAAGCAATTACTTCCAACGTTTTACAGCTGACTACATAATATAGCTGCTTTCTGAAATAGTAACCAGAAAGTTTGTGTTGCCACAAATATTTTTATAATTTAATCCGCTTTGGGTGACAAAATTTTTCGTCGTGTTTCCACCTTGCGCGCACAGTTTGAAATATTCTGTTGCATAATTTTAATTCCATATTTAATATATAGCTTTTATAACATTTGGAAACTACTGTGTGAACCAAAAATTCTAAGAATTTCATATTAAATTTTTATTCTATTGAGTTGAGTTTATAAAATGTATTAAAATTATTAAAAAATCATGTAATGTATCATGTAAAAATCATGTATCATGTAAAATCAAATAATCATGTAAAAAATCAATCATGTAATCATGTAAATCATGTAAAAAATCATGTAAAATGTTTATTATTATTAAAAAATTATGTAATATTTTCGTGCATAAAATTTTTTAATATTAAAATATTCATCAGATTTTTGGTTCAGTTAATAAATAGTGCCCATATAAAGAATTCTCCATCAAATTTCAAGAATGTAAGAATGTACCATTAGCCATTTTAAAATATCATGCGCGCGCAAGGTGGAAACATGACGAAAACTTTTGTCACAAGCGGATTAAATTACAAAAATATTTGTGGCAACACAAACTTTCTGGTTACTAGTTCCCAAAGCAGCTATATTATGCAGTCAGCTGTAAAAAGATGGAAGCAATTTCTTTTAAAATAAATAAAATATCCCAATTCTTGCAACAATCACATATTCGAAGATCATAAGGGGTTTAAGGTGTATGAGCCCTCTTAAGTGATTCACTCAATCATTGTTTAAATTGTGACCAAAAGCAGCATTAAACCTTGTTCATGAAACTTTAAAAATGTGAGGTTTTTTACTTAGCTCTGCAATTTAATTAGTTGGCAGATATCCCAGGAGGAAATAATTTGAAGCACTATGAATATACTTAGGGGAAAAACCCTGGAAAATAAACAAGAAAGGACTCTGAACCCGAGAAATGCTGGAGAAAATTCACTATCCTTCTTGACGAAAGATTTAGACTCAGAACGACGCTGTTTCAGTGCACTTTCCTAGAGCAATTTAAGTAGCATGAAAAGATAATTTTCTCTTAGGAAGTACCGAGACTTACAAATCCTTGGGTCGAAAATATAGCAGGAAGAAGTAAAAAAAAAGCCACAGATAAGGAGAATAAAATAAAGTAAAAAGTAATCTCTCCAATATAGCCAGAATCTTTAATCCGCCAACCACTACAGTTTCCATAAAACATGGCTCCTCCGCCATTGTTTGAAAGTAAAATACTAGAAGAAAAAAAAGGTAAATACAAAACATACGCGCGCGCGCGTAGGAGGAAAAAAAAAAAAAAGCGAGCCCCCCGCACAGCCGTATTAGCGGCGAACGTCCATTAGAGAGCGGCTCGCGGATCTAATGCCTCCCGCACTGCACTACCTAATCGAATTCATGATCTGCTTACAAAAAGAGACAGGAAAGGAAGAAACAGACAGTCTTAGGATATTCCTTTACTACTTTTTTGTCTATCTCTTCCTCGACAAGTCTTTTTTCTGCAGGGGGAAGGGAAAGGCATAAGCTGGAAGTGTGGCCAAGGTAGAATGGGAGGAAGAGCATGTGTCCGAAATGATTCTATCCAGAGGCAAAGAACGACGGTAGGTGACCCTATAAAGATGTCCAGGATAAAACGAACGGAGAGGGGGAGGCGGATAAGCAATACGGGACAGAAGAGGCGAAACATAAAATCGATCGTCAGAAAACATGCAGCTGGTCAGCATGAATATATTTGCTACGACTGTTGGTCAAAATATATCTTATACCGATTCGGATATGAATCAGGTACAGCTACGCAATTTTCTTTTCCTACAATCCCCTGCTTTAGAGCACCATACTCTGCGATGCAAAAATTGATTTTATTTACCATGCTCGGGCACGGTACTAGCTTACATACATACAAAATAAAAGGAAAGGAAATGTGCGGGGAGGGAATCCCCCCCCCTTTTTTTTTCCAGATTTTGATATCCGGCAGCGAGACAGTGTCCAGCGTCGCAAGAGAAGAAGAATGGAGAAAGAAAACAAAACATAATAAAAGACGAAAAAAAGCCCTCACGCCTATTGCTTACCCGGAAAAAAAAATCCGACCATTTTGTATTGGACACACGTGGACACGGGATATACATATGCCACTATGTATATACGATGGTCATCACGGAAGCGGTCCACGAGCTTTCTGAATTGCAAATACCGTCGGTGGAGGGGGATGAGGAACTAAAAACTAAAAGGAAAGAGAAAAAGGGAAGAAATCGTAGGCTCTCCATTTTGTATTTTCCCATATTTGCTTTCCCCGCATCGCTCTCCTTCATATCATGTTAGCCAGAGTGCGGAAACGATATTATGCAAACCGACAGACGGCCCAAGCTGATGGACACTGTCAACAAGATAGAGCGTCCGAAAAATTCAAACGCTGCTTGACCTGATGGTATTGTGTGCGTGTATATATATATATATATATATATATATATATACATATATATATATATGCAGGCATACAAGACTGGACATCGGAAACATTTCCTAGGAAAGAAAGAACTCTGAAGGCTCAGAAGAAAGTGTATTTCCTTTCTTTACATCCGGATTTAAAATATTTTTGCGATGTCGAACATTGCTTCAGGCTTTTAAACTTTTCAAATATGATGTAAAAGCATTTTGTGGGAGATTCTTTCTTGAACACGGTTGTTTTTTAAATGCCTCTGAACAACAAGATTTTTTTTTTTTCTATTTTATGCTCGCTTTGCACTCTTAATTTGTTCTAAAGAAAACATTTTACAGCTCTTGGTGAAGATAAATTAATTCAAAAATAATTCTCTAAGCATTAATTTTTGCAATTTTAGTCTATTTAATCTGCGACCATAATGAAAAGGGGTACGAAAAAACAATATTTTTTTCGTTTATTTGAGGGTATCATATTAAGAAATATATTATCACGGAAGTTTAGTTAGTTTTCTATTCAATGCAGAGGCGAAAATTTATCACAGTAACGAAAGGATAAAAAAGTATAGGTAGATAATAATATAGGTTTAACTTTACTAATCATACTGCAGAGTTTGATCTTATTAACTGTACTTTAATCACAGAAAAGAAAACAAGTACTACAAAACTAATAACGTAACTAAATGAAACAAACAGCAGAAAAACTAATTATGTAAATAAACAAAGAGAGATACCAGAAAATAATAACATCTAAAGTACCCAAATATTTCTGATATTGCCAAATATTTTGTGATTTACGAGTGCTGCATAAAGTTTCAAAGCATTTACACATGTATTTAATACAATAAAGTCTGTTCTAAGAGAACAGAGCTTAAAATGCCCTTATTACTGATTAGAGTTTCAAATCTATTAATATAAAAATATCTGATGTGTACACCACATGATGACTTCCTTGTACGGAATATTAAATTATACGCATTTTTCATTTTTTCTTGCATTTCATTTTTTTAAACTTATTAGATTGAATTAAACCCTACTTCGCCGACAGCGCATAAACCAATAAATAAAAATTAACACAATAGAATAAATGCATTCTTTAAAATTCACTTTGTTTACCATAGCGACACTCTGCCGCTGGGGTTCACTTAACAGTATTATATTTCGTTCACATTATAACTCAGAATGCACAAAAAATTTATTTCATTTAAAGAATTATCTAATCGTTGCCACATGTTCTATTGAAATACTATACTATAATAAAAGCTAGAACTATGTATAAAAGAAGTTAAGTTAAGCAAATAAAACAAAAGAAAAAAAAAGAACAGTTTTTCACAGACGATTGGTATTTCTCATTCAATTAATTCAGTTTAGTTCTCACTTCGTGACATGGCAAAAAAACAAAAATAACATAAAAAAAACTCAAATATTTGTATTAAAAATTACGAAGTAAATCTTAAACGCTTATTTCCTCGAAAAAAAAATTCCAGAAAGAAAAGATTTACGCATGATTTAAATAATAAATGAAGGCGTTATCTTTGTTGTTGCGAAGCTAAGTTTCTCTAGATTGGCAACAAATCCGCTATCCTGCTGTTTCAAATGTAAACAAGAGCAATGGCCGAAAACATTATTAGGCTTAGCGGCACTTAATTTTAAAATTGTTGAAAATTCTAAAAATATTGCATACAGATTTACTAAAGGCATAAAAACCTTAACCAGAAGATAAGAACAACATAATTCCATCATTTTTAAAGCAAAAAATGTACAATTTACAGTTTCTTTACTCTTACAAACAATACGATAAAGAAACTGAGATCACTGAGCCGGGTAACAGAGTGATCGTTTGGCAAGGCCGATTGAAACGAAAATACGAGGCGGCCGATTGCAATTAAAATACGAGGTGCACATCTACATGTTATAGTAGTCCTATATACAAAATTTCAACGTTCTGAGGGAACTCGTTTTGAGTTATGCGAGATACACGTACCTACGTACATACGTTCGTACAGACGGCCTCGAAAAATTCTCTTCAGAATTCATTTTAAAAAGCAGTTTTTATAATTTTTTTTGATTTTTTTTGAGGAAAAGAGTATTTTATTCTGTCCTTACGTACAGATATCACGCAAAAACATCGTTAAGTTGCATTCGATAGCGGTCAAAATGGATATTTTCGTTGAAATATGCTGCCTGAAACTTTTCGCGATTACAATACTTCCTTTTTACTTCGTACAAGGAAGTAAAAAAACAGCTGAACTTAAGGATGAGCCCTTTCGTCCTTTCTAATCGAATTCGCGTGTGTCTCATACACATCCGATGACGAAAGCAGACAGGTGGAAAATAGAGTCAACGTCCCAACGAAAAAAAAGTACATATGCAAGTACAAAAAAAATTTTTGTGGCGGCAGATATGGAAGCGAAAAAAAAAAAAACCGGAGAGGGAAGGAAAATGAAAACGAGGAAAAGTACTGGGGGGAGGGGAGATAATAATAACTTCGAAAATACAAAGAAAATAAAAAAGAATCAGATATTATGCACACAAAAGATTGGCATCCCAGTGGCTTGTGGAAAACGCACGCGCGGCACACGTTAACGTCAGGTAAGAGGCACTTCCCAAGGGCTGCCAATCGCCTTTTTTTTTTCACGTGCACGGAGAACGCCATAAAAAATACCAAACCATCGGCAGGAGTGCACCGGTACAATGGGCCCTCCGGTGTTGAAAGGAAGAGGGCCCCATGTCAGCACGAGCTTGCTCGTGGCTAGAGGACGACAACCCCGGGGCCAGGTGTTGTGCCCCCACCTCCCGTAATATTAGTTCTCCTCTCCTGATGTCGGATTCAGGGGTTAGGGCCCTATATGGCCCCGAGTGCAACGCCCGCGGTTCTTCCGCAAACACAGCGAGTACGCTTCCGGGTACGAGGAGGTAGAAAGCAATAAATTCACTTTAAACACTTTAAACGGCCTTGAAAATCGTTAAATGCTCCACTTAATATTCAAGGTGTTTTCCCGGTTTCACCAACAGCGCAGCATTGCCTTTTACGATTTAAAAAATCAAGTACCATCGAATCTTCGCGCTTGGTATAAAAGAAGCAACAGCTGTTTTTAAGGTATCGAATCAGCAAAAAAGAACTCTTGAAAGGTTTGAAAATAACTCTTCGTAAGATGGGAATTTTGTCAGACTGCTAACCATTTTGAATTGCAGCGGATTATTAAGTTTTTCGTAACCTCTATGATTACATTTTAGTTTGAAATATTATTCGTGGTATCTTAAATGGACATCCCGGTAGGACCCGTGGACCACAGTTTAGAAATCAATCGTTTATACCACCTAAATTACATTAGAGAACATTGCTACACTACATGGTTTACACCACCAAAATTACATTAGAGCACATTAGAATTCCACCTAAATTACATTAGAGAACAATGCTAATAAAGAAAGCTAATATTAATCGTTGAATTCCACCTAAATTACATTAGAGAACAATGCTAATAAAGAAAGCTAATTAATTAATCGTAGAATTCCACCTAAATTACATTAGAGAACAATGCTAATAAAGAAAGCTAATTAATCGTAGAATTCCACCCTAAATTACATTAGAGAACAATGCTAATAAAGAAAGCTAAATTAATCGATTTTACAAGTAACTGTTTAGCCAACACGAATGACACTTCTCATCGGAATTCTGAATAAAACTATTCCATTATATTGCTGTTGTGACTTAGCCTCTTGATCTACATATACTCCATGTTAGACCCTCGAACTTACCGTGGCCAGCAGGCATGAGATCGCTGGACAGGGCCTTAAGCGATGCACCTGTCATTGGTCAAGATGATGCAGTTTCGTTGGAGCTAAAGTCCAACATTATCAAAGCATACTACAACTTCTCTCATAACAAAGCTTTGATAATGTTGGTCTAAGTTTCAAGGAAATTGTGGTCAGCGATAAATTTTGCTTATTTGGGCCAATCGTTCAGTTGATCTTCTTCAGTTGTTTATTATTCAGTGTTTCCAAAATTATTTGTAATGCTATTTAGCAAATCCATGATCGAGAATATTTCGTTCCATAAATCATACATTTTAGATATAATTCAGTTGTACTTTATCATCATTTCAAACACACATGAAATTGATATAGCACTGAGCTGGGAAACAAAGAAAAGTACTTGCATATTAAAAGTATTGTTATCTAAAACCGAAGACAAACATACTTCTTTTGAAATAATATACAAACTAGTACAAGCCGCACGTTTAAAAAAAATGGCTTCTTAATTTGGTCAGACAGCAGAATAATATGTAAGCTTCTTTAATTGTAGTTCAAGAAAATTATGATCAAACTCAATCTAATTAATCTAATTAAATTAATCTAACTAAATCGAAAAGATTAAAATTAAACTTATACCAAAATGTTTCAGAATTCTTTTTATCTCTAAAAGAAAAAATTCCAAGCTAACAATTGGATTAGTTTTGGAAAGTTTCAACGAATAAAAACAGAAGTTGGCAGAGACCACAACTCCAGCAAGCAGACCAGTGCCAACAAGAACTAAATTTAATCATCCTTCATCCTCCTCGTTATTGGCTCCACTGCCCATTTATTTTTGCTGTCTAACAGGTAACTTAAAAACAGTTTTAAAAAGAAGGAAAGAAAAAGACATGTTTTGTAAGCGTCTTTTATTTATTTATTTAAGGTGATGAAACCGCAGCTCTTTGACTCAATTGATGGCAATTGCAACCTATTACTTGCTTCCGTTAACAGCTAGATTAGCTTT